AGGATGTGAACCCAGGAAATAGAAATGTACAACTTTTGTGAAAAGTGAAATGTCAACTTGGCGACGCAGTGGTGCAGTAGGTAGTGCTGTTGCCTCACAGCAAGTAGGTTGCTGGTTCAAGCCTTGGCTGGGTCAGTTGGCGTTTCTGTGTGGAGTTTGCATGTTCGCTGTGTTCGTCCCTGTGTTTGCGTGGGTTTACTCCTGGTGCTCCGGTTTCCCCCACAGTCCAAAGACATACAGTATTGGTGAATTGGGTAGGCTAAATTGTCCGTAGTGTATGAGTATGAATCAGAGTGTAAAACATGTGCTGGATAAGTTGGCGGTTCATTTCACTGTGGCAACCCTAGATTAATAAAGGGAATACGCTGAAAAGAAAATGAATGAATGAAATGTCAACTTTTGAGTATACATGATTAAGAATTTACTCCAGCTTAAGTATAGGCAGTCAAATGTGATATGAGAAAAACCTGAGATTCAGTTTACAGATTTTACAATAACTTTGTTACTTTTCTTAGTGTAAAAACTCCCTATATAGGTACAGCTTGCCCTGATGCTTACACAGTAATCTCTGTTGTTTGTTTATTTTATTCTCTAGTTTTATGCAATGTCATTGGTACAACGGCCATTGCTATAAAAACCACTGGCCATAATGACACTTCAGTAGTTATTTGTATATTACTATAAGTAGTTATTAGTTATCAGTAATGACTTTTAGTTTAGTAATGTCTGTTTCTTTTTGAAAGATAAATAACTTAATATTTGATAATTGCCTTTTTTTTTTTTTTAGAAAGAACGAGAGAGAAAGAAATTTACCTGGTCACACCAATAACCTTTACATGTACCTGTAACCTTTTACATGCAACCTATTACAGTATCGTCAACTGATCATACTCTTCTTTCTATATTAATATTGATGTTGCATGTAGATAGATTTTGTTCCGCAAATATGATAGATTTATATTGGTAATGGTGGATATAAACAGTATATCTGGAGTCTTCAACAGAAATGATGTAAATCTGTATATGTAAACATTGTAAGCCCAGTAGGTCTATTCATGTCTGTTCACATGCTCTGCTTTGTGGCCTTTAGATGTTTGTTTGACCAGATACACTTTCAATCCAATTGTTCTGTCATCACTGTAGATATGGAAACAATTTAAGCTCCCCTTTAATCTACACTTACCATCCCCACTTATTTGTAATAATCATCTGTTCTAGATTCATTCATAAATTGTGGGATGCAAAAAGCATCTGTTATCTTTTGGAAAATTATTGTCATCTCAAAATTGCGTCATTTCGATTCTCGTTTCTAAATTTGCCCTGTCCTATTTATGTCTGTGGTTGCAATTGTTTTTGTACTCTCTGACCAAAATGGATTTTGGAACCCATTACTGACTATAGACACTAGTCATAGTAAAGTTTACCGCTTCATGAACTTGTCGAATAAGTTTATTTATGATAGATGTGTCTGTTATTCATTTTCACCTGTTAGTCATTCCAATTTGCTGTTGTATATTTTTTTCTTATCCAAAGCTTAGTGGCCTCATTTCTTGTCCCAAACCATGAAAAACATCCCTGCTTTTCATTTTTTCTAATTGATTTTGTCTTTTTGGTCCTTTGGGTCACACCAGCAAAAAGGCAGATGCCTAAGGATTCAGTTGACTGATAACACACAAAAGATTTTACTGCCCTCCATCCTCCTCTTCATGGTGTTGCTTTCTTGGCAGGACTGTGTGGATGTGTACGGCAGGCTGTGTGTAGATGCTGCCCTTTGCTCGTGTGTGTTTTGATTTAAGCTTGTTTAGTAGAATTGAGACCACATGACTTGGAGGAAGCTTTTAAAGTGACTCCAAATGTTCCCATGTCTTCAGGCCTGCACATGCACACTCAAGTACACACTTTCTCTGCTGTAATAAACTATGTTAGCTGTTCTGTAGTAACAGTTTCCTATGAGCTACGCAATGGTTTACCAATTAATGGTATACTGAAAACTTTTCGTAGAAACCTTTTAGGGCTCTGTCAACATTTAAAGTCATTGTTAGTTCAAAATTGACCGCTAATTATTTATTCACTCCCATTTATTCATACCAAAAATGAAGATATTTTGAAGATATTTTTATATTAAAGGTGCAGTAGGTGATCTTCCAAAATGCTTACGTTAGCATATTAGCTTTGAACATGCACGTCCCTCCCCTGCCGTCCAAAGCCACGTCTTTTAGAGTCATGAACACTCACCGAATAGATGACCATAGACAACCTTATTTAACACCAGATCATGCCATTCACCGGTTAAAAAACTCTACGAAGACACGCACTTTGTCCAGCGTAATTGTTGACAGTGGGGTGCAGGAATTAAATTTTCACTGTAAAATTGTTTTTATATTTTATATTCAGACTTTCTCCTTAGTAATAATTTCAGAAAAAGTATTGTTTGCAAATTTTAAATAATGAAATCATCCAAATGACTGTAAAATACAATTGTTTACAATCTATTAAACAGTACTAAAATTGTTTTGAAGTCATGCCTACACACTATTTCAGACTAAGTATTGAAAGTAAAGTTTGAGTGGGGGTGTGTCAGTTTTCACTGTTCAAAAATGAATTACTGTGCAAATAAAAAAATCAATCTTCACCTCAGTAAAGCTGGTTAGGTGGAACAGACCTATTTACAGTGTGTGACACTTCAAAAGGACCATTACCCACAATGTGTAGTGCCGTTGCGGCATTAAAGAATTAAGAATGATTTTTCAGGTGTAACAGCAGTTTGCGACTATGCTGCCAATAGGCACAAAAGGACGGGATGCGAACGGACAGAAATATACATCTGTAAATACCCTGCTACTTGTAAATGATGATGAAATAATGAACCAAAACATTATAATTCCTTCATTAATCATTAAAAACTGGTTAACAACCTCTATTATGATATTATGATAGTAAACTTAAGTGCAATGAGGATTAATTTTGGAAAGTAAAATTAAGGAAATAAAAGACAACTAAAATGAAAGTACAAACACACATAATTACACAATAAATAAATAAAGCAGTGGGTTAGCCTACATATAGATAGGTGTACAGTGTTTGTTATTTTAAAGTGATAGGACTAAGGCAGTCAATAAATAAGCTTTTTATTTACGTTTTCATTTACAGTTTTCATTTACATTTTCTTTGTTGATTATATTTTACTTTCTCGTTTTATGTCTTATTTATTGTACATAAATAATAAATAAATAATCAATTAGGCCTAAATAATTATTTATTTAAAGACATTCCTGAATTACGGCCCGCCACATGGTTTAAAGGGCTCTTAAGATAATTGCTACTTCATCAAAAGCATAAAGATAAATTGAACTACCTCAAGCTGATCACTAAAATTATAATAAAAAATGTTGCAGTTTTATTTATTTATTTATTTTTATGTAAAATGTTAATGACCCAGTATTTTTTCTTTTCTTTTCTATTCTGCAGATTTTTAGCCCATCATTAATTCTGTTTATTAACTTGAATAAATGTGTGTAAATCTATATTTATTCAGTTTTTACAATAAATACAGTTATATCATTGACTAATAGGAACATGTTTATCTGATTTATATACAATACAGTTTGTACAGTAATATTTTTTGTCTTTTAGCAGATATATGATATGAGAGACTTGCTTTGTTTATAAAATAAAGTGGATCTAATTGGATTTGCATTTTCAACACTAAATAAAGTTTAAAGGATAATATTTTATATTTCATATATTAAGGTTTTAGTTATAATACTCCCAAAATGATTCTGTAGAAATTCGCAGATTTTTACCAAAATTCTCTGCAGAAATACAGAAATAACAATAAACATCCGCAGACTCTGTCTGGCCCCATTAAGTTATTATAGCTAAGTCATCAAAATTCACTATATTATAATATATCTGAAAATACATCTGTACTTATGTTTTGTTATTCAACTAGTTATTAATTACTGTAATTTGTTATTCTAAATTAAATCAGATCAGTAAAAAGGAGTACTAAAAACATAAATATCTTCTTTTTTCAATACACTTATGTGACCAAGACAACGAGTGACTTTTCATTTTCAATTGTACTCGCTGAAACTGGTACCGACTGTTATCGATGCTGTAACGGATGCTCCATGAACTTGAAAATAGAATACAGTCTGCATAAGCATTGCATGGCTATAATAGTTTTAAAAGTACCTATCTAAAAGTAATACTTCAGCCATTGTGTTATGCTTCAGATCATGGTTTGAACTGCATAATGTCATTTTCCTCCAGTGTACAAAAGTAACACCGATATTGATTCAGGATTTAGAAAGGTTTTGATACTGCATTTTTGGCAGAAGCCCTTTCAAAAACAAAATAGTTTGAGTTGCCTATCGTAATTAGGTAATCAGTTGTTTATCCGCCTGACTAATTTTTATTTAGACAAACATTTTTTAGTCTTATGCCTTACCCAGAATATAAAAATACATATATAAAAACATTTAGATCATTTACTTCAATCATTACTATTAAAATGTGAAGAGACTTTTAATTAGCACAACAAAAAATGTTTCTGAACACAATCACCTATACTGCACCTTTAATGTTAGATTCTATTGACTTTTATTAAAACAGCCTATTTACTCCTATTTACTCACCATCAGGTGGTTTTAAACCAAAGTTTCCTTTTTCTTTTGGAACACAAAAGGCAACATTTTGAAAACCGGTAACCATTGACATCCATATTAAAACACATGGATGGATGAAACTATGGATGTCAATGGTTTTCAACATTCTTCCAAATATTATATTTTTTGTTTATCAGAAGAAAGAAACTCAAACAGGTTCGGAATTTGTCATAAAATTGAAGAGTACAAATTAACAGAATTGTATTTTGGGGTGAACTAACCCTTTAAATTGGTTTGGAATGACAAAACATAACCGGTTTTTACATTTTTTGTTGAATTGCAATGTGTACTGTCGCATGACTCTATCTTTCCTTCTTTTTCTATCATAAGATGATGATACAGTCAATTGTGGTAGGTCAATTTCTTCTTCCTCATTTCTTTTACTCTCCCCATTACTGTTGATCTGTTTTTAATCCTTTTATTATCATCATATTCCTCATATTGCTTTCCCAGTGGAGGACATAGAAGGTACACTATAACTTTAACTTTATTGGGCCTTTTAGATGTCACAGCTATTAGATCATTAGCAGAGGACCCCTGTATGTGGTAACAGAGTGCCAAACAATGAAGACACGGCTGATTAGCATTCATTGGACCACAACCTTCTAATGGAGCGTAGCAGAGTGTGTAAAGGGGACAAGAGTTCACTACCCTACCATATAGCTCTCATGCACAATACATCCCTGTCCTTAACAACTCCACCTTACATTTTAGATGAAATTTGTATGATAAGTGCTCAAATGAATACCATCCATTTTAGTTTTCTCCATGATAGACTGTGTGAATGTGAATGTGACTGCATTCCCCCAGTAATTCATAGTCGTATTGTTGTGTGAGATACAAAAGATGTTTTGAATAACTTCTTTTACCCCATCTGTAAGGTACGTATTGAATGCATTATGTATTGTGTCTATTAGACAAAGGAAATCTGTTTTTTGGCCCACGTGGAAAGTTGTGAATGTTGAATGTGAATGCTGCCAATAGATCCTTCCACCTGGTTCAGATGTAGAGGATCAATAATATATAAGAAATATGGTAGCTGTACAGCCATTTGAAAGTTTGAGGTTGGTAAGATTAGCATTTTTTTAAAGAAGTCTCAATAATGCAGGAGGAAACGGTAATACTGGAAAATATTATTACAATTTAAAAGATCTGTTTTAAATTGGCGTGATTTTGAGTGACATATTTTCAGTATAAATGTAATTGTGGACTGGATTTTTTAAACCTTTTATCCAAAGTCCTGGACATGTGAAACAAGATTGCCATTGATGCATTGTTTTGATTAATAAAAAAAAAAACTCTCTAATTTACTGTTGGTGGCTGTTTTTGCCCCATTGATTCCAATATAACCACATTTTTTATTACAAAACCATGACGATATGTAATCATGCATTTGTGATTGTTGGTGGTTTTGCCTGTTGGGAAGAGGTAAAATTTGTAATTTTTACTGTTTATCATCAGTTGACACCATTAACCCTTTAGATAGGCCTGTGCAAAAAAAGCTTAATTTCTGGATTTTATATGGAGTATAACAGCAAATTTAAGTGGATTCATGCATATCTATGAGTGTGTCAGAGTGACCGTATCACACTTAATGTACCTTGGCGTGTCTAAGAAAACCTAAATATGCATCTCAGCTTTCAGAACTACATGGAGTAAACAAAAACAAAGACTGTGAATTTATGCACCATCAAATATTGTTATAATTGTAGTCAATTGTGCAAAACAGCCACCAACAATAAATTAGGGAGAAAAAATTTAAAGCTAGCAATGCATCAAAGCCAATGTTGTTACTATTCAATCACATGTCCAAGACTTAAATCTCTGAAAATACATCATTTTGTGTGTGTTTTTTTTTTTTAACCAAATCAGTGACGTCATTTATGAATTTGGCAATAAAAGGGTTAAAATCATGCAAATTTTCTAAACAATTTAGTAGTTTTGATCAGAACTGAGGTTGATTTAACAGATTTATGCAAAATCATTTAAAAAAATATTTATTTGATGCATTTTTATAGCAGTTTAATTCAGTGGATGTTTCCATCCCGAACATAACAAAAGAGTAATAAATTTGAACAATGTACAAGAGTTAATATATTTTAAAATGGAATTTATTTCTCTTATTTAAGCAAGAATTTTCAGCACCGTTACTCATTCTAATACGCTGATTTGGAGCAAAATTTTCTTTTCTGTGCTGAAAACCATTTGCTGCTTAATATGTTTTGTGGAAACTGTGATGCTTTTGTTTTTCCTATTTTTATTTAAACAGAACAGCATTTCAGCTACACAGAAGACTTTCATTAATATGTTAAATGAGTCATATTTCAATAATACAATGTGAAGTCAATTTATTGCATTTTTTTATGTAATGCATTCTTCCTAAATAAATGCATTCATTACAAATCCTACTGACCTCAAACTGTCTAATGGAATAATCATTGTCAGTTGTTTATGTACCTACAAGCTGAACTGACAGTCTTTCAGTGAACAGGAGTTCTTCTGTTTTGCTCTCTAATATGAATCTGTCCTCGTTCCTTCTGCTTTTCATAATTTGAAGAGGAGAATGAGTTTGCCTCGTATTTAAGTGGACTCCATGTTGGTGAGCTCTTTTTGATTATGCTTTGTGTTTGTCCTCTGTCCCATACCACTTGTAATTTGTATATCCCATTTTATTTTAGTCTCCCATACGCGTTTTGTGTACACCTCTTATCATCCTCCCTCTCTTTCTTTCTTCTGTGCGTGTTGGACAATAATCTTTTTGATATGTGGCTGCACAATGTTCTATGTCTTTTCGTATCATTGTCTAGTTTCCTTCTGGTTTAACAAATCTCTTCTCTTGCAAATGGTAGTCTCGACCATTTTTCTGATCTCCCCATTTGACAGTATTTTTCATTCTAAGATAGAATTTGTTATTGTTATTAGGCATGGGTCGGTATAAGATTCTGAAGGTATGATAACCATGGATAAAAATATCATGGTTTTACAGTATCACGGCATTGTGATTAATGCTTTAAATTATGTTCTTTTTAAATGTCTGGGTTAAAAGCTACTTTTTTGCCCCATCGAACACAATACATTTTATTTTAAGAAAAATGTAAAATATTTTGGAACAGTAGACATGTCAGGCGAAATAATTTAAATAAATCATTGACTATTGTCATCTTGAAAAGGCATCTTTAGATATCTTTCTTTTCTTTGGACATAAAGTAAGCCACTGCATTGTTCAGGTCTATAGCATGCTTGGATGGTTACAGCAAATTTTTTGTCAAATGTTTGCTGAATCAAGGGCTGACCTACAGCTTTTGATATGGATGGTCCTGGAAATACTGCTGCTAAGATATAATTGCCCTAAAAATAAACTATTTGTAAAAAAAAAGACAAAAAAAAAAGAAAAAAGAAAAATAAAACTCTAAAAAAGCCCTACATATACCATAGAAATGGTATAAAAGAACATAAAAGAACATTTTTGTGGTTTTCAAACCTCGACTTTTTCAAGCCACGATAAACCTTGAAATCTGTTATCATCCCATGTCTAGTTAGTATCAATTCCTGAGTGTTGTTTAGTTTTGTTCCCAATGTAAAGAAAACAATCAAACTAAAATATCTGCAAATCATTTATTCATTCATTTTCTTTTCGGTCTAGTCCCTTTATTAATCTGGGGTTTCCACAGCGGAATGAACCGCTAACTTATACAGCATATGTTTTACGCAGCGGATGGCCTTCCAGCTGCAACCCATCTCTGGGAAACATCCATACACAATCATTCACACTCACTCACACTACGGACAATGTAGCCTACCCAATTAACTTGTATCATGTCTTTGGACTGTGGGGAAAACCGGAGCACCCGGAGGAAACCCGCACGAATGCAGTGAGAACATGCAAACTCCACACAGAAACGCCAACTGACCCAATTAACGCTCGAACCAGCGACATTCTAGCTGTGAAGCGACAGCACTGCATACTGTGCCACTACATCACCCTATCTGATATCAGTGAAATCAAAGTAACTATTCTCACCACCCAGGGATGTTTTTCAAAAACCATCATTAGCCAACTAAGTTCTCAAGTATGGAAGCATACGAGTAGCATAATTCAATTCAAAATGTAATATGCAAAATGGCAATGCAATATGTTAAATGGCAATGTATTTCTGTATTTGAATTTGCATTTTCCAAGACATATGAGCAATGTTTGGTGCAGAATGAAAATGTAAATTAAATTACATTGTTTGCATTTCTCATTTCAAACACTGTTTTAATTTGTAAATTGTATCCACATTTTAAAGCTTTATAAGTAGCAAAATTAAATTGAAAATGCTATACACAAACTGAATTTGATGTGAATAAAGCACAAGCAGAAACTGTGGCAAAATGATCATTTAAATGTTATTTGTCCTAAATGCATTTACACTCGCGTCTAGGAAATGCAGGATTACATTTTCAGCATAACAGCATGGGATGTGTGTAGCAAAATTAATTTTGAAATGTAATACGCAAAACGATAATGCAATATGTAAAAGGCAGTGTATTTCTGTATTTCAGTTAGCATTTTCCAAGACATATGTGCAATGTTTGCTGCAAAATGAAAATGAAAATAAAAAAAACATAATGCATTTTCATTTAACACATCGCGACGAATGAAAGCCGATTTGAAATTGAAAATGCATTCTGGCCTGGCCACGCCCACAGACGGCCACCGTTGCTGCAAGGCAGGTTTTAGGTTATGTCGTCACAGCTGCCGCGAGGACTATTTGGGACATTTGGCGGCATAAACATGGCGAAGTCTGTTCCTCAGCGGCTTCGTGAAGCTGCACGAGCCCTCGAGCGTGAACTGGGAAATACTTTAGAAAAGCAATCACCTCCTAGCTCAGTAAACTTGGCTTAAGGTTTGATATTCGCGCACGCAGTTTTAGGGATCATCTGCGATTTACATCAACAGAACCAAAATGCACAGTAACGCATCAGCTAAAGCCCTTTTGCATGCAGTTTTAGGGATCATCTGCAAATTACATCGACAGAACCTAAAGGGCTTTAGCTGATGTGTACTGTGTGCTTATGACAAGAGCTATTGCCTATTTCTGCATTGTATGTACCATATAGTTAGAGGTATAGTAGCTTTGCTACCTGTATTAAATCATTCTGGCCTCTAACCATTTATTGGAATCTCCTGAATTTTTTCTGCTTTGCGTTACTTTGCATTTTGGTTCTGTTGATGTAAATCGCAGATGATCCCTAAAACTGCGTGCGCGAATATCAAACCTTAAGCCAAGTTTACTGAGCTAGGAGGTGATTGCTTTTCTAAAGTATTTCCCAGTTCACGCTCGAGGGCTCGTGCAGCTTCACGAAGCCGCTGAGGAACAGACTTCGCCATGTTTATGCTGCCAAATGTCCCAAATAGTCCTCGCGGCAGCTGTGACGACATAACCTAAAACCTGCCTTGCAGCAACGGTGGCCGTCTGTGGGCGTGGCCAGGCCAGAATGCATTTTCAATTTCAAATGGGCTTTCATTCGTCGCGATGTGTTAAATGAAAATGCATTATGTTTTTATCATTTTCATTTTCATTTTGCAGCAAACATTGCACATATGTCTTGGAAAATGCTAACTGAAATACAGAAATACATTGCCATTTAACATATTGCATTGCCATTTTGCATATTACATTTTGAATTGAATTATGCTACTCGTATGCTTCCATACTCAAGTTCCGTCGTTGCAAACATAGTTCGTTCAATTGGCGGTTCCCAAATCCATCGTTCCAACAAACATTTGCAAACTGAGTGGCAAACTTGTATGTTTCCATCTACACCTCTACAGCTTTAGTTAGTTCTTGGCTGTGCTCTGTTCCCAGTTATCTCCCTATTCATTTAAAACATTCCAACATTTAAACTTGGAATGATAAAAAAAAAAAATTAACAATGTCTTTTAGGTGTAATTTGCTAATTTTCAAAGTATTTTTACAGTTCAGTTTTAGCGATCTTCATATTGACAATTGTGCTCTTCGTAGTGCACTTTGAAACCTTTTTGCTGTTTTGAACGCAGCCATGGATCATGACAAAAGCTATAGGTGACCTATTATTTAAAAGTAGAATGTACATTACGTCTGCAAAGCTTGTGAAAACAACAGCATATAGCATATGTTAATGCTTTCAATTTATAGTAGGTTACTTATTAAGAAATGTATCTGTACTGTAGGCCTATATGACATGGGCCTGTTGGTTAGAACATTTCTGTACTGGTTTGAATGTGTCAAATTGTAAAAGTAGACTTAAAAAAACAACAATATTCTACTGAATAATAATAATAATAATTATAATAATAATAATGTAAAGGAAACAAAGATCATATATGAGCCCTTTTCAAATATTTTAATTAATATGGAAAACGAGTGCAAGTTTTTATCAAAACTAATATTAGATTTTTTTAAAAAATGTGTGTACTTGTAAAACAATAACATTTGCACAAAAAAAGTATGGTTTTTTTTCTCTAAAGTTGTTACTCCACCCCGTTTAGAGCGTCATTATAGATGTGTTATGTTATAACTAAAGTGGTTCAAAATATGGATCTGCGACAGCAGCTACGGTTTTGGGAAACACTCATCGTTCTTTTCCAAAACGATGCTTGGTACTATGACACTTCAGCTACGAGTTATGTTGTTGCTTGGAAAACGCACCCCAGGTCTTCTTTTTAAAAACAAGGGCTAAATGTGCACTGATTTCTCATATAGCCACCCTGAGCAGCTGTACTTTCTGATTTTGCTGTGTGTTTGGCAGTGTTTTTAGTTTAAATAGCTCTTTGTAGATGTTAAACATATTGCCGTTAAAGGCACTGGTTCGTTTCCAAGCTTTGTGGTGGAAGTCCGGCGTACTCTTGATGTGGTGTGTGTTGGACACTGGGCTGTTTGAAGGCCAGCTCTCAGTCAGGCCTCAGTCTGGTTTCCATCTCTAGCATTAGTGTGTGGAAAATAAGTGTGCTGTAGCATTCTCATTATCTGTCACCGCAGAGACTCGTGTACTCTGTTGTACAGTATTCCCGGGTGGGACAGCTCTATACAGTGGTCACAAAACGTATTGTGTTTCCATGGGGTCTTATAGTATTAAATGTTTCAAGTAGTACGAAAACACTTATTTATCATATGCAAGGGTTTCAGTTTCAGTTCTTCAGTCATTTCTTGTCTCTGGTTTGTGTTCTGTAATCCGTTCTAGATCCAGTTCAGGTTTTCCATATCTTTCATTTTAATCTGTGCAAATCAGCTGTTTTGTTCTATTTTAAAGGATCCATATGTGTAATGTGATGAAAACTGTTGTTGTTTGTGTTTTGGAGTTTTGATATGTTTGTAGGCACATTTGTTCTTCGAAAAAAGTTTTTTAAAAGCTTTTAAAAGATTTATTTTAATGCTCACCAAAGCTGCATTGATTTGATTTAACAATACATTAAAACGTAATGTTGACATTTTATATGACTTTTAAAATAAATAGTTTAATTTTCATATATTTGTAAATGTTGTTTATTGCTGTAATTGCAAATCTTCAGTATCACATGATCTTGAGTATCACATGATCTTTCAGAAGTTAGTCCAATTTGGGGATTTGGTGCAT